GGGGGAAATCCATCATGGACACCCACGCAGTCAGATCAGGGCACTAAAAAATAGTGCCGAGTGCTGACCGCGTGGGTAGTGCCGGACTCCTACCGGCTAAAACCCCCCGGTGGCCCCTAGCAGCGCAATGGGATGAACCCGGGACCCCTTTCGGATTGCGCCGGGTCCATCCCACGCTTCGCTCTAAGCTCTTCCTTAGTACTGAAGTCTTCAAACCCATTACGGGGATGACTATCTTTCATTTTCTATTAAGCCGTCAAACCTTTTTATTTTTGGGACGACTACATACCTTGTCTAGTCTCCACACTGGGCCACATAGTGTGGAGACCTCATACCTTTGTAGCGGCGTTGTTTTTTGCCTTGTCATACACTGTTAAAAACTTTCGGTTAAATACACGGTTCCGGTTAAATACGCGATTTTACAAATTCGGTTAAATACGCGCATCACACTTAAAAGAAAAAACAGTTAATACAAATACGGTTAAATACGCGGTTACGAATAAATACGCGAACACTTTCGCTTCCTGCTACCTATTTCGTCTATGCGGTTCTCTGCGTCTTTCTTGTTCTTCTTTGGCGGACATCACCGACTCGCAGAAGACAGAAAAGGCGTTCCATCCTAACTCGGAGCCTATTATTTGTCCAAATACCTGGGAAAGATCGGCTAACTGACCTATGCTACTCTGAAGAGTACCTCTTTCAACACTCCAAGCTTTGCAATGTATCAAGGTGTGAATGTTGTCATCTCGTTCGTAGCCGCAATGGTGACAGCCGGCGGATGTCTCTTTGCCTATCCTACATAGATACGCTCCGAAACATCCGTGACCGGTAACCATTTGCGTCATCCTGTATGATAGTCTTCTGTTCTTTCTTTTGATCCATTTAGAGAAATGGGGGAGTAGAGCAGCAATGACTTTCTGCGATTCTGCTAGATCGACCAGGCTGGATTTCCAGGTAGTTATCGTGTCTTCTTCTCTCTGATCTTTCAGAATTTTTTTGTCTTCATTGTTAATAATCTTTTTTTCTTTTTTCAGGTTCCTGGTAATTTCATAGTATTTCTGACTCATTCTAATCATTATATCCATAGGGGGTGACAGAGCCAGTAGGAGCACCGTCTGCATAGCGATCGTCTTATAGCCACTTATAACTCTGAGCGCCATCTTTTTTTGAGCACCCATTATTTCCTGTATTAGTATTTTTTGTTGTAGGACTTCGTTGGCCCATATTGGCGCCCCGTAAAGCATCATCGAATTGAAAGTATTGACATATAGTCTGCGTATTTCCTCTCTGGGTCCACCGATATTTGGAAGGATTCTCCGCAAACCGTTCAGAAGGCCGATGACCTTTGGAAGAACGGTCTCTGCGTGACATTTGAAGGATAGCCGCTCGTCCAAAATAACTCCAAGGTATTTCGTGGTTTCATTCATTTTTACTTGTCTTCCTTCTATGCATAGAAATTGCTCTGTTACAGGGATTCTTGTTCTAGCGTCATGATAGCATGTAACTACAGTTTTCTCTGCTGCTGTCTTAAGTCCCACTTTCCGAATTTCTCTAAGAATTATGTTGGTAGCAATGGCAGCTCGGGTTATGGCTTTCCTAAAGTCGCTTCCGCAAGCTACGATTATCGTATCATCGGCGTAGCCTGTTACTTTTACTTTTTTCGGTACTGAAGCTTGCAACACTCTATCATATCCAATGTTCCACAGTGGTGCGGCTAGGACCGACCCCTGTGGAACACCGGATTCTACTCGCTTCTCCTGGAACTTCCCTTCACTATTAATGTAGGTTATGGTCCTTTCAGATAGGTACGATGCAACGGTCTGGATTATGTACTCTGGTATTTCTTTATCGCGCAGACCCTTCACTATCGAGGTCCACTGGATGGAATTAAAAGCGTTGCTGATGTCCACGCTCACAGATATTGCAACACCTCCTATTTCGATACATTCATTTATTTGGTTCTTTACTCGAGTTATAGCATCTAACGTGCTTCGTCCTTTTCTAAACCCAAATTGGCAGTCCGCGATGCTGTTCCTAGTTTGCGATAGGTGTTTGTCAATTCTTGCAGCAATAATTCTCTCGAACGTTTTGCCAAGATCGTCCAAAAGGCATATTGGGCGATACCCCGACGGTTGGTTTGGGTCTTTTCCCGGTTTCCTCAATAGTACTATTTTCGCCGTTTTCCATTTTTTCGGGAAGGTTCTCGTTTTCATGCATTCGTTCATTATTGTTCGGATTTCATTACTAAAGTGTCCTGCCGCCAGTCTTAAAATAGTTCCGGGAACACCACTTGGGCCTGGAGCTGTTTTTTTTGTCTTTAGTTTTTCCAAAGCTGCCGTCGCTTCCGTCATAGAGATTTCCCATTCAGACTTCCATTCATTATCTGGAGAAATCTGCATATCTTTCTTGGCTGGTGGAAAGAGCGCGTTTAGGACTGTTGTTAATAATACGGGGTCCATTTTTTCTGTTGCTATTGGGCCGTTGCTCTTCGATTTACCTGTGGCCCATTTATAGGGTTTCCCCCATGGGTCGTTATCGATTTCTTCTAGTAGTTTGTTCCACGATCTTCCTTTGGCTTCATATATTAGCGTTTTTAGTATCTTTTTGCAAGTCCTATATTCCTTCTCTTTTTCTTTTCTCTGTTCGTCAGTTATGTACGCTTTTCTCCTTGTTTTTTGCCATGCTCTTCTTTTTTTTTGGCAATTCAGTCGTTCTTGTGCTATTTCATCGGACCACCATTCGTTCGGGGGGCGATTTTTCGCATGTCTCTTCCTCGGCATCGCAACATCACACGTCATGGTAAGTATTTTTTCTATTTTTTTTATTTTTTCTTTCAGCTCATCTCCTTCGCAGAGAAGTGATCCCCAGGATGCCGCCGAAAGAAATGCTTCGCACGAGGGTAAGTCTAGCTTCTTCAGATTCCATCTGGGATAGNTTCCTTTGGTGTCCTTTTCTCTAGGGTATTTATTCTATGTTCAAGTTCTCTAATATATGTTTTCATTTCCATATTTTCTTTCTTTAATTTCTCTATCTGTGGTTCTTTTTCATTAGTTCTATAGGCAAGCTCAGATCCTACCTTTTTAATCGTTATCTCCACTGTTTTAAGAATACTTTGGAAAGTTCCTTTCAAATTACCAGATTTTGTTCTAACCGTTTCGATCTTTTTTGCACTCTCAAAGAGCATTCCAACGACAGACGTCGTTGGCGTATTTTCGACGTCCGATCCTATCTCGTCTTCATCACTGTTTGATCCATATTCCGTCTCCGATTCCTGCGCGTCTCTCTTCTTTTTGCTGACCCTTTTTTCGCCAGGTGGTGTTTTCGACGTGCTTTTTCTCATCTTTTCACCTGAGTCTTTATTTTCCGGCCTTTTTCTTTTGGTTGTTGGCACTGACATTGGAGTCTTAAATACTTCATATGTTTCTTTCGACAGACGGGCCGACCCTTGACTTTTCGACATTGGCGGGCTGTGGCGAAGCGAACGTCTCGGAGTGTGAACATCCTCATATAATTCCGTATCAATTGGATCTCTTGTCTTTCGTCCTTCTTCATTCGTGGTTTCGGACTCACTTAAAGTCAGTCCCGGATAGCTCAGTAAGTCATGCGCTACTTTATCATTTCGTTTTTGGGGGGTGTATTTAAATTTATCCATGAGTTTGTTTAGATGACGCTTCGTACAGAAGGGAACGGGCCGCTACATGGGAGGGTACACCCATACTTACAAAGTACTTCCCGGAACTCCGGGGATCCCATGTATACGCTTTACCTCCCCCGGACCACTGACGGGGAGGCGCTCGTTCGGGGCGGTGGGGGTTCCGATCCCCCCACTCAGTCTGTACTACCTGGCCAGGGATCGAAATGGTCATTTCCAGACATCAGGAATCGCCAGGTGCCTCGGCAGTTCTTACACACATCAGTCCGAATAGCTGCAGGGTGGGAAACAACCTCACAACATCCGGACACT